CCTTATCGCTTTCTGCAACTACCTGAAAGGAGGTTGTAGTGAGGTGGATGTCAGTCTCTTCTTCCAAGTAACAAGCGATAGGACAAGAGGAAATGGCCTCAAGTTGCACCAGGGGAGGTTTAGATTGGGCATTAGGAAAAATTTCTTTAATGAAAGAGTGGTTGAGTATTGTAACAGGCTGCCCAGGGAAGTGGTGGGAGTCACCATCACTGGAGGTGTTTAGAAAACATGTTGATGTAGCCCTTCTAGACATGGTTTATTGGGGGGGTGGTTTGGGGTTGACAGTTGGACTTGATCTTAGTGGTCTATTTCGACTGATGATTCTATGGTTCATACTATTGTCTCGCACTTCACTTTTAAAACTACTGAAGTTAATGTAGGTTACTAGAAGGATGTGAAAATCCTGAATTTTAAAATTTTAAAGTTTTAAATAAATCACAACACCCTGAAGTAGTTATTACACTTCATGGTATTACGCTTATCTTTACGATGTAAACAGGTATGAAGATGCTATCAGTAAATACGATTCTGTAATGAAAACTGAGCCAGAAGTCCCAGTTTATGCTACTCGTGCCAAAGAAAGGATCTGCCACTGTTTATCAAAGGTAATTCTGCTTTATCCGTAAATTTCTTAAAAAACAGCCACCCACACCCCCCCGCCCCCCAAAAGCTACCACTACATAAATTTTGTTTTACTTTCTCCTCTCTAGAATCAGCAGGCTACAGAAGCCATAAAAGTTTGTACAGAAGTCCTGCAACTGGAACCAACCAATGTGAATGCTCTGAAAGACAGAGCAGAAGCTTATTTGCTGGAAGACCTATATGAAGAAGGTGCAGTGCGTGCCATTTGCACATACTCTTTTATGGGTGTTTAAAATGCAGTCAGTGTTTTGAAATTTTTTTTAACATGCACTTTGATTCTACACTATGTTGTTATCTGTAATCAGCACTGGTAGTTGCAGATTTATAAAAATACCTGCTGGTAATTTGGGCTTGATTAGTCTAAGTGGAATGTACTTGTTTTATTTTCAGCAGAGTTGTCCTTAGAACAGTGGGCTATGTTCAGGATGTTTTATGAGGCTGTACAGCTTACTGAACTTACTTAAACACATTTTATATAATCAGCAGTGTCAGACAATTGCATTTAGAGATAAAAGGTAATTATAGTTAGGGTGATGTAAATCTGTTTTAGAACTCCATTTTAATGTCTTTAGATGGCAGCATGAAACAATACTGTTCTAACCCCTAGCATGTGTTGAGGGCAGAGGAAGATAACAGCCCTTGCTTCACCTCGCGGGTCTCTGTAGTGCTACTAAGACCAGAAAACTGATTCTACTCCTGAGGCTGCGTTTTCCATACGGGGTTTCCATAAAATGCATCCTGTTCCTTGGTCTCATCTACAGCCTTGGAAAGTAGGGACCGAGTAATGGGCGTGTCTGAGTACACCATTATGTTGTTACCTGGCTTCTTTAAGAGTACTAAATGCTAATGTGCTATTAAAAAAAAAAATCTTAAATTTAATTTAGTGAATCTCATTTCCACAAGAATCCAGGCTTAAGAAGGAAATCTGGACAATCTGTCTGTTCCCCCCCTCCCCATACAGTCGTGCAGCAGTTTTTGAAGCACTGGGCTGTTTCAGTCAAATGTAATGAGGGAAAGGACTTGTAGATTTTAAATCTGCCAAGAACTAGTTCCATTAATTTTAGCACTCATAGAACAATTTTCCTTTTCTGTATTGTGATACTGGATCTTTTGCTTTATAACAGAACAAAAAAACCCTTTTCAATTTAAACATTCATGAGGCAGCTGTTCTCGTTAATAGCATGCTCAGGGTTTTTTTTTTCTTTTAGAGAAATTAATCACTGAGAGATGATACCACTCACATCTTGAAGCTCACTTCAAAAATGAGATACCCATTTTGTTCTTTTTTTAGACCTCCTTGACTCAAATGAAAACAGGGTATAAAGAGCACTGGTGCGGTTTCAGGCAGTCCTCTTCATCAGTTCTGTAGACTTGTACCTCTGAAGTGACCTAGTCCTAGTCCCGCTTTGCTGAGGCTGGCAAGCCTTCTTCCTCCTCCTAAGAAAAAAAAGTGGAAGATAACAGCATTTTGGGGAATGGATGACCTTTGTACAAAGGGATTGGTTTAAAAACCCCTAAAGTGTGTGTGGGAAAATTCTTTCTGTTGTTCTTAGGGTAATGTTTTTTCCATCTTTTGATTGAGAGCTGCAATGCCAATCTAAAAGTAAGGCTTAGGAAGATTTCACAGTGATGAGGCCTCCTTTGGGCATATCCCCATCTTTTTCTGAACTTCAGTACAGCGGAAGTAAGCTCACTCAGTGTTGGAAAAAGTAGATTTACAAATGAATAAAAAAACCCTGCTTCTGTAAAAATACTTGAAGGTACAGAATACAGATCTACATAGATTATGGCTGGTACAAAGATTTTGATTTCAGAGGAAGGAGTATTGGCAAAAGGAGAACCCAAAGAAAATTTAAGATTACTTTTTCCCTGCAAGGTGTATGAATCTTTAGCTTAATGGAGGGTACAGGGAGGGGCAGGCCAAACAGGCCCTGCTGTGAGTCCCCTTAGATGTACCTTTTGCTTCTTACTAGTGGACAGAATTGATCTGTTTTCTCAAAATTGATGGATCTCAATTTGGATGCTTCTAACATTGTCTTCCATTAAATCCTCATCTGTTTCTGGTTCCTCTAGGGTCAGAGAATCTGGCAACTCTTGCAAATTAGAGGATAAAAAAAAAAAGCTTTGTAACAAGGTTCTGCACAAATGCACAGAGCCATTTTGGTCCTGTGCCGGAGCCAATGCCTCCCTATTATGGGATATCAGGGGACACAGCTGTGATCTGGGAGAGCTTAGCTCCTGGGCTGGAGCCTGCTGGGCTTGGCCTAGCCTGGTTCGGAGTGGACAGCTATGCTAGAGTGGAACGGTTCTCCAAATCCCTGTTGTTTAGCCTATACCCTGCCCTCCTCCTGCCCTTGACAGTAGTGAGATGTTGTAGTTACATTCTGCCTTCCAGCAGAGCCTCCATAGACTTGATTATAATCCATTAGTGTTAGTCTGCCTGAAGGGGTCTTCCCTTATCCTTCCGTTCGAACTGCTGTAAAACTCTGGCTGATTTCTCGCTGCTCTAGAGAACAGTAGAGCAATTAAAATTGTAGTATCATATTTAAAGGGGCAAATTGATTTTCATTCCTCCCTCAAGAAAATGTCGAGCTGGAGGCACCTATTTTCCTGTTTAAAGACAGGAAATTGTGGAGTACTTGTAATTCAGAACTTTGAAGGCGATTATGGTTAAATGTTCAAGACACACTTCAGTACGTGTAGTGGAGTTCTGATTCCTGTCAAATGGTTTTAATTACTTTATAATCACATGGGATCCAGGGCTTGTCTACAGAGACAGATGCGTAATGACTCCCTTTCTGGCTTACCTCTCAGATACAGCAGTCTGTCTAAAGTATACAGCACACGTTTTGTCAAAGAATTAGAAGAAACCCACCTTGCTCTTTCAGAACTGGTTAGGACATCGTTTTTATTTTCTTTTTTTTCCCTTCCTCCCCCTCCCCACCCTGCTACTGTAGAGGAAACAGCCCCTATTTCAGTAAGAGTGTAACAGGTTCGGTTATTCCTCTGACAGAGTTGGCATGAACTGCATTTGCTCGTGTTAGATAGGAAATTAATTCTGCGTATGGAATAATAGCCAATCTTGGTCACTCTGTTTTAAAGAGGCAGGCAAGATAGGAAAGGCAGGCAAGGTGTTTAGAGATATGATGCGATTGCTGTTTGAGAGATTGTGAAGACTCTTGTATTGAAAGGAAAGTTAGATTTGACTAAAGTATTTAAACTCAAAGCGATACTGGAAACTGGTTGTTCCTTTCATGTCATGAGACAGAATGAAAGGAAGAAGGGGTGTTCTATGAAGCAGCAGGCCAGGGAGAAGCAGCAGTGATTCTTGTGACAGTTTGTGAGGTACTAGTGCTTTTAGAAATAGTAGCTGAGAAGAACTGGTTAAATATCCCACTTGACATACTGTGATTAGTAACAAGTCTTCTAGTTTCACAGCAAACTTCCCGTGGTCAGGAAGCTGTCATCCTGCTTCCACCTGCTTCCTCACCCCTCAGGTGGGAAGTGATTAGCTTTCTGAAAGAGGAAAATTCCTACGCTGGAGAGTCTCTTCCAACTGTGGGAAAGTGCAAAATGTATTTGCCATCAGGTGTGCTGGGTGCATTCCTTCTGTGCTGTGCGGCACTAAAAACATCTGTGTTCCCATATGCTTAATACTGGCAGCCTTTAAATGAGGGAGTCGATTTAAACCAAAACAAAACCCCAGAAATTTAGTACTGTCATTGCAGATCCCTGACCCCTGAGCAGCTTGGTTTGCAGCAGTGGTGTGTGCTGTAGATGATGTGGTGCTCAGTGACGCTGAGCAATCTGATCTGCATTTGGTGGGTCGTTGTGATGGGAACTCCTGTTAATACATGAAGCAGATCAAGTACGCTGCTGCTTAAAATTATTGGAGCAGTAAAGGAGCATAGTGAAATCCCTGCATTTTCATTCTTTTTATCAGTTTTGATAGCATATATTGGGCACACGCATTAGTGTACGCTCATGTTCACTGTTTTTTTAATGACTGGACAAATTATTAAAAATACCAGTAGAAGCCAAAATGCTTTATTCAAGCGGCAAATGACAGTGTCCAGTGATGTGAAAATGAATAGAAATTCTGTTTTGTTTGTAATGGCATATGAAATTGGGGCACTGGAAATACTTCTTGGATTTTTTTGTTTTAATAACCGAAACAAGATTGCAATGGTATCAGATGTCTGGGTAATACAAATTCATTAGCACTTCCTGCTGTCTTGCTCAGAAACAGTGAAAAACAAATGTAACACCTGCTGAGAAATAGCATCTGCTTGGAAATAATCTGATGCAAGTACTTTGTCTAATTTGAGAAACCTGGGAGACTTCGATCTGCAAATGAGACTTTGAGGATTGTAAGGGTGGAAGAAGAGCAGTCTCATTAGAGACTTCAACAGTTGCTTCCCTTGATAAATCTTGATGTCAAAGAATATTTAAACTTGGATTCTGAAGCATTCAGTTACCACTTATAATAATAATATAGTTCACTTCAATAAAAAAGTATAGGCCTGGAATTTCTTAAACTCATGACTACATCACAGCACCTTGCTTTCATTCCTGAGAAATGCAACTTCTGAAATAAAAGTGAGAGCATGCTTTTGGAAAAAAAAAACCTTAAAATATAACTGTCTGCGTATTACGCAGAGGTGTAAAAAGCAAATCTTTGTCTTTACCTAACATTATGAACTTCCTAGTAATCTGAAATCCAGCTTTACTGTCATTAAAGAGGAAGGGGTTTTCTGTCATCTTGGTTGAGTGCAGAGTGTGGGAGAAGGAATATCACTTTAAAAACTCTGTATGATGCCTCCTTCAGTTGAACAGTGATGTGGGACTAACGCTGTGCAGTGGGCTCTTCAAGTACTAGTTGCTGAAACTGGCTTCTTGACTCCTGTTTCATCCCAGTGCTGGATTGTTATGTTCATCCATGTGACTGTTGTAATATCTAGAGTGTTCTGACCTACCTACCACTAGTAACCTCCCTTCTCCTTCCTTTCCAAAAAGTGTGATTAACCTAGAGAAAGAAAATTACCTAATCTATATGTGAAAATGAATCTCCTCTACTCCAAGGTTTTCTAATTTGGAAAAAAAGTGGCAAGTTGAAATAAGTTTTTCTGTTTGTATATTGTAATAGCAAAACCAGTTTTGGTGAGTGGTTGCATTCTTGAAACTGAAGTGTATAAAAAATAGTTGTGTAATCTTTTTTTCCATTTACTTTTTTATAAAAGCTATTAAAGACTATGAGACTGCTCAAGCCAATAGTGAAAATGACCAGCAGATTCGGGAGGGGCTCGAACGTGCCCAGAGGATGCTGAAGCAATCACAGAAGAGGGATTACTATAAAATCTTAGGAGTAAAAAGGTGAGATATTAGTATCTGAGGTGATGATGTGAAAGTTGCTTATTAAACCAGTACATCTAGGACTGATCCCTTGAATGTGCTCTGCTGAGTGGTAGATTTTGTTCCTGTGTCTGGCTGCCTTCACTTTCCTACTACTCTGGTTGAGCAGTGTTCAGCTTTTAAGTAGCATTTGTTTCCAGTTCCTTTAGAAAGAGTGAAAAAGCAGCATTAGGGAGGAAGGAAATAAATCCCTTGGCAAGAAATTCTTAGTATAGATGATCAAGAGTCAGGTGAATTAATTGGGGAAGAAATGAAGACTGGAAAGAATTACTGAAAGCAACAAAAAATAAAACTGTGGCGGATAGTGTGATGGATAGGAAAAGTTTGAAAGGTCTAACTGGCAAGTATCTAAAGTACTTCTGCCGTTAACCTTGAGAGACTAACGACTTCTTTCTCATGAGAACCAAATGAATGTCCAGTTCTGAACTAGTATTGGTCGTCCTTCCAATCGTGAACTAATTTGATCCCTACTCATTGTGCTTTTTGTTACTCCCCTGATCGTAAATTCTTCAGACTGGGAACTGTGTTCTGCATAGTAGCTAGCGGCAGCATCTTTCCAAGGAAAGTAAATGGGTGGTGAAGGAACAAGTTGAGTAATCTTTGTTTAAAGTTGCAACCTGCTTCTGCTGGTTTTTGTGTAAAGAATCTTCAGTGCCACCTGCAGAAGGTTAGCTAGCACCTCATAAGTTTCTTGATGTGCTTAGTTACTGTCTTGGTGTTTTAAAAGAAGCCTGTAGATTCACTAGTGTGGTATATAAACAGAAAATTAAGTTATCTACAATTTTATCCATCCAGAAATGCTCGAAAGCAAGAAATCATAAAAGCTTACAGAAAGCTGGCATCCCAGTGGCACCCTGATAACTTCCAGAGTGAGGAAGAAAAGAAGAAAGCAGAGAAAATATTCATTGATATAGCAGCTGCTAAAGAAGTCCTCACTGACCCAGGTAATGACTGTTCTTACGCAGTGACTTCATTTTTAAGTACTTTTTTACAGTAATGTAAAAATGTAGCAAGGGTGAGTCATAACAAGCATTACAGCTTCCCTTTCTCCATTTCTCCCCTTACCCGTCTCGAGAGAGCAGTGCACTCATACTTGCGTCCAACCTGTTGCATGAAGTCAGCTGTAAACCTGGAATTATTTATTTGGGTTGTGCAAAGAGATGCTCTGCAAACGGAGCTACCCCCCCGAGGGGACTGGGTACTCTGCTCCTGTCGGCCTGAGGGCGAGGCTGCCCTTGCTACTGGTCTGTGGCCAGGCTCCTGGGGCCAGCCCAGTCCCTGGGAGCAAGGAGCCCTGTCAGGTCTGGCTGTCTGCTGGTCAGCTCTGGAGGAGGGGGAAAATGTGAAGAATGCTGTCAATCTCTTGGGAGACCCTATGGTGGTGACTAGGAGGTCTAATGTCTTTCTCACCAAGAGATGAACGGAAGGGGTTGGACCATTTAGTCTCAAGAATGTAATAAAAACCAGGGTGGTGTGGCTATCTTGCCTCCTTTAAAAAAATACAAAACAAACAAGCAAACAAACAAAAAAAAACCCCTCAGCCAGAGCCATCTGTGCAGTTCTTGTCTTTAAACCGTTCCTGTATGGTCATGGGCAAGAGAGAAGCACGTAAAACATGGGGATATTGGAGGCTCCTGTTTTTATCTTCAACTGCTCAGGTTCATCAAAGTGATAATTAGGCAGATGGGCTCAGAGTTTTCCAGAGGAAGGAGGGATCCGAGAGTGATGAACTGCATTACAAACTTGTGGTCAGAAAACCTTTTTGTGTGTTGCTGTGATCTTTTTGATAATTATGAACACAAGTTAGGAGACTTATATACTGGAGACTTGTATACTGGAAGCGTTTGAGATGCTGTTTGCCCTGTCAGCATCTCGAGGACATCTTCATCTACTTTCTCCTTAACACTGCTTCTGATGTCAAATTTATCATTCCTGTCAAACCAACTGGTCCAGAAAAGTAGCACTGACCGTATGTGGTTTCTGTAATGCCATCTGTATTGCTGTCCATCTCTTCGTACAGCAATGACACTCTCTCCTTTCATCCAGATATCTTTTCCCGGGTCATTTTCTAGCTCTAGTGACCACATTGGTTAAGTAAAGATAAAACTATAAAGCCTGTGGACCTCTGAATCTCTGAGCTTTGACTTGCCAGCTTATTACCCTGGGGCTCTGGTGTCCTTTGAAGCCATCTTCCACATTCCTTCCCCAGCCAGTCTGGTGATTCCCTCCTGACTTGACTCCTTTGCTTCCCTTCTTTGCCTTGATAAAGTGGGTGTCCTGAAAAAGTGTCAGGTGATCAAAAACCTTGTGGCGCTTGTGGGCTGCATGGAAGTTAAAAGCAGGTGTAAATAACAGAGTAGTGGTGTAGCCTGTGACTTGTCTGGGGGTCTTGGGGGAAGGCTGGACAAAACTACCTGAAGAACACACTTTCTGCCTCCAAACCACTGTCCCTGTGACAGCTCTCTGCCTGCATGGTATATGGGGAAAGTCGAAAAAGTTTGAGGCTCTGCGTGCTCACTTCCGTGCTGTTGCTGAATGACCAGTGCTGGAATTGATTGGTTTTGAAGAACTGGCAGGATACAGTGTGGTCTGTCCTTGGACCACCCCAAGTGAGTGCAGCTATGAGAGAATAGGTCCAATAAACTCATCAAGGACAAAATGTCCCAATTATTTGTGGAACACAGTTGGTCCAAGTGCCACTGTCCTGTCCCTGTTGAAATTCACACCTGTCCTGTTGGACAGGCAGGTACCATCTTGCCTCGTTTTAAACTAAATGACTTGTTTGAAGTTTGTCGTACAGCGTTTCCACGGAGTTAGTCTCTTTTCCAATGCCAGGCTCCTGGACAGCTTTGAAAAACTCAAGAGTTGCAGCTCTGTGGCCTGGGGGGGTGTCCAAATTATTGGTGATCAGAGATGCTTGGTGTTACTGCCCTGACTGCTGCGCCCTGATACCACCTTGGTTTTGTTTCCTCCAGAAATGAGGCGGAAATTCGATGCGGGAGAGGACCCACTGGATGCGGAGAGTCAGCAGGGCGGGGGCAACCCTTTCCACAGGAACTGGAACACGTGGCAAGGATTCAATCCCTTTGGTTCTGGAGGAGGACCATTTACATTCAAATTCCACTTCAGTTAAGAGCCAAGACTGTTTCTGGTGGCTGCTGCTGTTTTTTACTTCAGTTGTTGAAAAATAAAAAGTCTCTCAGTTCAAGACCCAAAATCTTAATTTCTAATGTTGTCCTTAACCCAGAGTCTTACTGCACTAGAAAACAGCTCCTTCTTCCTTTTAGTGTTCGGAGGGTTTGCTTTGCGGTGAACTCAACAAGCTCGTACTGGCTGGGGCGGG